CGTACACGGTACGCTGGTATTTAAATGGTCCTACCTGTGGTTTGCTGTACACCGTACGCCAAGCTGTAAGCTTAATTTTGAAGGCCCATAAATATGGAACGAAGCAAGCCAGCATGATGACGTTTGCACTGGACTGTTGTGAAAAGAATGCTCTCTTTTCATGTAGCCATAACATTCAAGATACAGCAGCTCTGCCAGTCATTCAAAATATAACGTGTGACCTCACAGTTATGATGGCTGAGTGACTATGATATCAGCATACCACAAAGATGATATGCATGTGATTATGAATAAAGCAAACAAACAAGAAACAAATTCCTTGTCCTGAACTATCATGGGAAACCCTCCAAACCGAATTTAGACTGGCCACACCCAAAAGGAATTTTGCTTGTTACCTCCTTCCCCAACGTCTCGTCCTAGAGTGTTCGTCTCTCCCTACCCTACTTGTCTCCATAAAATCAGAACCAGTTGGAGGGGAAGGGGGGGATCATGTGATAGGCCAGGACGGAAGAACTTTCTAGACACAAGGAGAAGAAGAAAAAGGGGGGTGGGGTAGGAAGAGAAGCTGCTGAACGGAGCCTAAGTGGAACAAATGGCTCAGGTGTTCGCACAACATGGTAAAAGGAAAGAATCTCTTTATTGGTGTAGTGAATGTGAGGCAGGGTTGTGTTTAGATGGATGTTTCAAGAAATTCAATACGAAACTCAAATTCTAATCTACTTGCTTCCATCGCTCAGATACAGGGCGCTCATATTATGAGGTAAGATTATAAAACCAACTTTTAAGATGATTTCAGTGAGAAATTCATAATTATATCTTATATAGTTCAAAAGTTATGATACATAATTTTATTTAGAGTAAAATTTAAATGGGCAATTAAAAAATACTACTGCAGGAGGACCCACAACAGCGATATTTAAATGCCCGCGCTGAAGGGTTAAGTAAACAATCAGTCAGTCATAAACATGAAGACAACTCTGGTCCTTTTTCAAATATCACCACATTTCAGTGTTGGATCTTTGTTTCTTGGCTGTATGGCCTCTGTTTCTGTGCGATTGCACTGTCCTACAACTTCATTTCTTTCTATCAGGTCATCCAGCAGGAGAAGTGAAAATTAAACATACACCACTTAATGCTTGTCCTTCCATTCTTTTGGTGAGATATTTGTGTGGCATGGGTACTTGTCACTTCTTGTGCCATATGCTGTCTGTCCTGCCCCAAAGTATGCCTTCTTGCTATATATGCACTCGTTAGAGTCACATAATTTGAAAATTTTAATGCCAAAACGTTTGTATGCTTCTTAGGAATGTTCTGTTGGAAATCAGGGCATGTGGTGGCATAGTTGGTTGAGGCACTATTCTACAAGCCAGAAGATCACGGGTTCGATTCCTGATGAGGTTAAAGGATTTTTCAGTGAACCTAATCCTTGACTCAGCCTGTAAGAGCAATGAGTACCAGGAATCTTCCTGGGTGGCCAGCATATAAAACTTACAACCTCACCACCACCTGTGAGCCAATTGTCTAGAAAATGTGGAAGTCTCAACATCTGACAACCCTATAGGCCCCCATGGCTGGTTTCAGACGTATCTCATGGCCTCAAGTTTAATTTTTTAAGAGAATAACGTTCTGGAGTGTTACATCAAGTAGTCTGGTCGATGGTTATGAACGTTCCCTGAAGATTGAGGTAGAATGTTGTTCCAAAATGTTGGCAATCACCTTCCAGATTACATAATGTCATAGCCCAAAAAAATGCAGTCTGAATTTTCACCGTTTTGAAAATCTTTGACTTTATTTCTGTTGTGTGTTAGAGGCTCACTTTACTGTATTTTTTGTAGAGGGGAATGTTGTTGCCCAATAGCCCATCGATCCATCCTGCGTACAGTATTACATTTATGTAAATATTGCTCAGAAGAGAAATGTGTCAGATCCTCACATGTTGAGAAGTGGAGAAAGTCCATCACTGAATATGTCTGAATGCTGGTGATACAAGTTTGTCTCCAGCAGTTTGACAGCATCCAAAAAAAACATATTTGGAAAGAGTAACTGAACTTGAGTAGTTTATGTCAAATGGTTCACTTACTTTCTTTCCTCAAGGATCTCATGTAAATTTATGGCCCACGTTGAAGTTCCCTCCCTATCTGATAAGACAGACTCCACTTTTAGTTGTTATTCTTTTTGCTNCTGGAGTGTTACACCAAGTAGTCTGGTCGATAGTTATGAACGTTCCATGAAGATGGAGGTAGAATGTTATTCCAAAATGTTGGCAATCACCTTCCAGATTACATAATGTCATGGCCCAAAAAAATGCAGTCTAAATTTTCACCATTTTGAAAATCTTTGACTTTATTTCTGTTGCGTGTTAGAGGCTCACTTCACTGTATTTTTTGTAGAGGGGAATGTTATTGCTCAGAAGAGAAATGTGTCAGATCCTCACATGTTGAGAAGTGGAGAAAGTCCATCACTGAATATGTCTGAATGCTGGTGATACAAGTTTGTCTCCAGCAGTTTGACAGCATCCAAAAAAAACATATTTGGAAAGAGTAACTGAACTTGAGTAGTTTATGTCAAATGGTTCACTTACTTTCTTTCCTCAAGGATCTCATGTAAATTTATGGCCCACGTTGAAGTTCCCTCCCTATCTGATAAGACAGACTCCACTTTTAGTTGTTATTCTTTTTGCTGCCAATTTGTTGATAATTGTGGTTCTGGCTCCTCTTCCAACATTACCCCTCCTTTGTTCTTAGCTCAAGCATCACTGTTACATTCTATAAATACTTCAGTTCTTCATCATGAGTCATGATTGAAACAACTGTACATACACTGAAAAAGGTACATGATCTCAAGATTTTTTATGGTAATAGATTTATTATACGAATGTTAGTATAGCACCCATTGACAATTAACAGGAAGTTGCTTTATCTCTTATATAAACTTTTATACCTTAATTTCAATCCCTTCCTGCTCCTGTAGGAGCCACGATGGCATAGTCCATACAGCNGAGTTTGTCTCCAGCAGTTTGACAGCATCCACAAAAAACATATTTGGAAAGAATAACTGAACATGAGTAGTTGTTTATGTCTAATGGTTCACTTACTTTCTTTCCTCAAGGAAGTTCATGGCCCACGATGGAGTTCCCTCCATATCTGATAAGGCAGACTCCACTTTCAATTGTTATACTTTTTGCTGCCAATTTGTTGATAATTGTGGTTCTGGCTCCTCTTCCAACATTACCCCTCCTTTGTTCTTACGCTAAGCATCACTGTTACATTCTATAAATACTTCAATTCTTCATCATGAGTCATGATTGAAACAACTGTACATACACTGAAAAAGGTACATGATCTCAAGATTTTTTATGGTAATAGATTTATTATACGAATGTTAGTATAGCACCCATTGACAATTAACAGGAAGTTGCTTTATCTCTTATATAAACTTTTATACCTTAATTTCAATCCCTTCCTGCTCCTGTAGGAGCCACGATGGCATAGTCCATACAGCGACTGGCTACAGGCTGGACAACTGGCAGTTGAAGTTTGAGTACCTGTAGGTTCAAGAATTTTCTGTTCTCCAAGTTGTCCAGACCATTTCTTGGGCCCACCCAACCTCCTATCCAATGGTTACTGGGGGGTTAAAGCGGCAGGGGCATGAAGCTGATCAGTCACCTCCAACTAGTGCTAAGGTCAAGAAAACTTGGGTCTATACATCAACACCCCCTTCATGGTATACTGCTTAATTAGTTAAGCACAGGGGCTACTTTACTGTTACCCTTCTCTGTATTCCTTTTATTTGTCTGTCCAGTCATCACTCCTCTCCTCCTTCCCTCCTTACTCTCCCTTACATTAAAACACTTTAAGTAAACATTGCACAGGACATGCCTTTGCAGAAGACGAACAATCAGTGTGAGTTCAGTGTTTTCCCTGAGGTCCATATCCCCTAATAGTGCAAGAAAGCGAACATGCATGTAACAGGCTGTGGAGGCCCATAGGTTTGTGAGCCATCCAGTCTCCCACACTTTCTAGACAGTCAGCTTACAGGTGGCATGTACACACTTGCTTTTGTAATTGTGGAAAATGTGAAAGTGTGTACATGTGTCAAGACTGTGATGATTAATGTTTTCTGCTAGACACAGAGCAACCGGATCTTGCATGAATGAAAACAAACAAATATTAAGTGGAGGAATTTGAAAATTGTGACTCTTGTTAAGATGTTTTTTTGTTGAAAATTGGAAATTATTAATGGCAGCCACATGAAATATGTTTTACATGTTACTTCTTATGTATTCTGTTTTTTGTTATGTTGTCTGTCAAATCTATCACTGAAAGCCATGGTGCATAACATATTGAAATGTTTTATGTATCGTCTAGTTTTCATATGTTACATTTGGCAGCTTTTATTCATATTTATGTGATGATTTAATTTTTCAGTTGATGAACCATTAAATAGAAGTACATATCTGAAATTTCTTGTGGAAAAATGTAACACTATCTATGTGAATGTTATGCAAAATAATGTGTGTGCTGAAGGTTGCACACATAGCAGTGGTACCAACCTAAATGGCTGTGTTTGTGAAGTTACAGGAACCTGACTTTTTTCACTTAGTGGGGGGTAGAGTCTAGCTGGGACCACTCGGCACGGCGGCCACTGACTGGCCTATTGTACCTGCCCCAGGTGATTATGATGATGGAGAATTTGGTGGAATGAAGATTGGCAGGGGAAACTGAAGTACTCGGAAGAAACCTGGCCCAGCACCACTTTGTCCACCACAAATCCCACTTGACCAGACCCCAGGATCAAACCCAGGCCACCACAGTGGGAAGCCAGCGACTAACTGCTTGAGCTATGGTGTGGCCTGCCTTACTGTGCCTGGTCTCATTTGCTCTTCTTATCTGCATTGTGTGTCTATTGAGTACCAGACCTCATCAATTCCTGTTGCCTCAGGCCACTGCAGCCTTACAGAGTGTTCAACACGTGGATGGGTGACCCATCGAAGCTTCTGCTGCTGCAAGGTGTGCTGGAGGTGGTGCGTAGGGATTCACTGCTTGCTGTGGTACAAAAGAGTGGAGAAAAGTTACTGACAGGACTTCGTAGCTTTGAACAGGAATTTCCTCACTTGCTACATTCTGCACGAGGCCGTGGAACTTTCCTTTCAGTCACCTGCTCTTCAGCCAGACTGCGAGATGATCTTATAGCTAGGCTTAAGAAAAAAGGTAAGTTCATTATCTGAAAGTTACTGCAGAGAATAGATGTAATTATAAATGGCATATTTTCTTCACCCTAGTAAAATGTGCATTAAGCAGATGAAAAGCTTCTGCTTATCTCTGTCATCACACATTTTTTCATCTTCAGTGTGAATCAGCACATTTCTCCCACACATTGAGAACCAGCTGATTGCCCATTTTGTGTGTTATTCACAGGCACATTACATGAAAATCAGCTGTATAAAAAATACACCTCGAGAATATTAAGTGCTGTAAGCATTCCTCCTATTTACACTAGCAGAAACTTATATGTATTGTTACTTAAACATAATCTGTCTTTTGTCAGCATTTGTCTCACTATGTAGTTTGCAAACAGATGTCTTTTGCTCCTAACTGAAACATTCTTTCTAAAACTGTTATCTGACTTATCACTGTTATCTCAACTATTTGCATCCAAATCAGATTCAGTGTGATTCCACATTTAATCCAACTCTGGCACACGCTGTCATTAACAGTCCATATTGCTTAGTTTCAGGTTATTCTGATGTTCATTTTCTAACATGCTCTCTGACTATAGTGTTCTGACCACCATGTGTCCATAGTACAGAAAAATAACATACTGTAACATGTATTGGTGAATATTAGACAGGGTTTGGATTGGATGATTGGATTCATTGCACTTTACACACCGCTTAGAACTTCACATAATTATAGCACTGTTGCTGATTTCCACACTACAAATCACTAGGACATGCTGAGCCTTTGCAATTTTCACTTGACCTATCCTGGCAATGGATCTATAACAGTCTTGCTATAACTACAACACACATAACGTCTTCAAATCACCCACTTAGTCCTCTCTTCACAGGCTTTCAAGTCTCAACTAAACTCTCTCAGTTCCTCCATCATTCATCTTCCCACTCCATATCTCACAATAAAATTCTCTTCTGCAACCGCCTACTATCTTTTTGCCATCTCTTCTCAATCAATCTTTGACTGCCATCTCTAGAGACTCCCTCAGTTCTTCTTATATAGCCTTGGGGCAGTCCCAACAGAAAACACCATTTCCGTTGTTATCCCCAAAATACCTCAATTATTGCTCGACTATTTGTTGCCCTGGGAATGGGTTTACTGAGTCATTGCCCAGCAGTGAACATCTACTGTGATGTAAAGTTAAACAGTTCTGTCCAGTGTGACTGGTGAAGATTTTTCTTATTTCAATTATTTATGCCCTTACATGTTTCGGTCTTCAGAGGCCATCATCAGAGGGACACCTTTACATCAATACAGTTGGAGGCTACTATTACAATATATGTTCTGAAAGTTGAGATGTATACATATAAAATAATATACAATTGGATATAAAATGTAAATTCTTTACAACTACAGTGGCTGTTCCAATATTTTAAATCATTTCCACCATTCTCATACTGTGCCAAGAGTTCACTGCACACAGTTTTCGGGTTTCTTTGTGGGCATCTGTCAACATCCTCGGAACCCACCTTGCACAAACTTTTTTCAGCCCCAAATGTTTAAATATTCTGCACACACTTGCTTCATCATTTCCCAGTTGGACTGACATTTCTTTCAGTCACACGTCTGTCCTCCAAAACCATATCGTTAACACGCTGCACATTGTCATGTGTTTGTGCAGTGTGCGGTCTGCCGGTGCAAAGAGAATCCCGAATATTGGCGTGCTCACTTTCACCAGATAATCTGTGTGCCCACCAACTAACTGTACAGCGATCGACAGCATAATCTCCATACACATTTTTCGGTCTCTTGCGAATGTTTCCCCTTGTCTCATTCTCACAACACAAGAACTGTATAACAGCACGTTGCTTTTGACGAACATCAAGCGCAGCAGCCATATTGAAGGAGTGCTATGACAGTGCTATGCGTGGGAATGGGTTGAATTAAATTTGAATACAAACGGGAAGGATCCTTCTATGCAACCTACAAATAGCAAAACTGTAGAATAAAAACGTAATTTTTTAAAAAATGTTGTGCATTACTTTTGGAGTGACCTACGTGTATATACGTGTATACTCGTGTGTGTGTATATATATATGCTATCTTGTGTTGGTGCTGGTGCCCAGAGATAGGAACTAGCTCTATCGACTGGGCCCAACTGAATAGGTTCCACCTGAAGACAGAGATAGAATCAGTCTCCGAAATGTTGTGTATTTTAAATAAAAAGAGAAGCATGGATAATTTCCAGAAACACAGTAATTGTATTAAGAAGCAAAACAGTCTTAAGGAAGTAGGATGTGTGGACAGAATTCATCTGTCTCTTGACAGTGCAGTGGCTGGCTGTTGTGGACGTGGTAATGTACCTTTGGGTTCCATAAAACGCAGAGATTTCTTGACCAGCTGAGCAACTATCAGCTTTGAAAGAAGGACTCTGCTCATTGCAGTTAGTTACCAACGTATATATTTATGTAATCTTGTAATGATATGAAAATTGATGACATATGATGTGAGTTGAAATTTCAGCTGCATTTGACTGTGCTCTGTGTTTCAGGTGTGCAGACTGGGGGATGTGGAGAACTTTCAATCAGGTTGCGGCCTGCACTGATCTTCACCCCGAAACACGCTGACATCTTCCTGGACAGGTTCCGACAGGTGCTTAAGGAAACAAAATGAAGGAAACTTGTCAAGAGAGTCTTTGGTACTGTATTTCCAAAACAAGTGGATTTGTTCATATTAACATATTTGTAACTAACCTCAGGGTCTTGGAAGGCAGTTCTGATGGCATGTGGTTCTATGTTCACATACCTACAGCTGACATTTTGACTCTCCGTTTCAAAGCAAGTGGCTTGGACTAAATTTTACTTCATGAAAGAAATTATTTTTATTGAAGTATTTATGGAAGGATAATGACATAGAGAGAAAATGAGTGAAGATAAGAATGAGATTGAGCTATACCAGGGGAGACCAAAGTTTTAGTTTCTTTTCTGATCACCAAGAAATATATTTCCACCTCAGTTTGTTCTGTACCAGTGAGACATTAAACTTCAAGAGAAGTGTTTTGCCCAAAGATGAAATAAATAAGGAAAAAGTGCATAAGATACATCAGTCCCTGTATATACAATGGGAATCATATGTTGCATTTGCATGTCTCATATAAAGAGCTAGGATAGTTCAGTTGGTAAAGTGACAGGCTGTGGGCTGGAGAGGTTGGGGTTTTATTTTCGGGCAAGAGTAAGATTTATTTCTTCTCCATAGCTTCTAAACTGGCTATAGGTCCTTCCCAGCCTCCTATCCCATGGGTACTGGGGCCACTTTCCCCAAAAGAGAAGCAACAAGGGTGTAAAGCAGACCACTCAACTCTAGAATGAGGTCAAGAATGGTGGAGCTATACTTCCACTCCCCCATATGTCTTTGTGGTATAGCCTTCAATTAATTAAGTTCAAGGACAGTTACTACTGCTTGTTACCTTATTTACAGGAAAAACTTACCCATACTTTATTTTTCATATAAATTTAATGGAGGAAATACAACCTGCTGTAAATTGTGCTGATCCAATTTCATACAAGAGACTGCACTGAGGAATCTAAAATGTTTTATTGGCTGGATGTATATATCTAACATCCAGGATGTCTGTGATTTAGCATATCTTCGTTGCTTTCTTAATTATGGGCATCTTCCCTGTCTTCATGGGCCAGTCAGTTATATTTTGAGCTCCAAATCAGACATGTGAAATATAAAGAAAGCAGTCTTCTGGGATTTGGCACCGTGTATATGTGGTGTTAACCGACGTTTCGGNTTCACTCACTTCGAACGATACATCTGTATCTCACAGAAATGTTTTATAAAGTATGCTACATTATACTGCCATATATCCTGTTAACTTTTCTGTAAGTAGGGATAGTGTCACAGTTGCAAGTCATACTTTTTTGCTATTCTAGTGAAATAATGAGGTCACATTCACTGCTGGTGCTAGTAGTTCTAAATCTTTTGATATAATCCATATACGTGGTAGAGTCATTAGTACGTGGAATGTGGTTTTATCGCATCATATTACAAGGTATTCACATACACTTACGCAGATCCACATCGAAACCTCAAAATAGTTGCCGTTGGCCTATATGCAAGTCTGCCAACGTTGATATAGCTGTCAAAAACATTGCTGAAACATATTGACAGAAAATTCCCGTACGACGCTTTGTGGCCATTCCACAAACTTATTGACTGTGGTACTATAAGTACGTAAGTATACTAGAATCCAGTGTTAGGAATGTTAATAACGTCTCGTATTACAGGGCTAAAACCATTTTGGCGAAACTTATACGCGCAGTATGGTGAGTTCTTTAAACAAGAACTTCATTCAGAGTTAGGTGTTTACAATACATTATGTTGCAAAACATTCTGAAAGAGTGCACGAATGTGTCACATACATAATTGAGCACAGTGAAGCAAGTTTGTAGACACTTTGTTCAATGTAATGGGTGAAATGTTGGCAGTGATGTCAGCTATGTTGGTCTTTTATCATCCACATTGCATGGATGACTGCAATAGGCATTGTCTTTAATGTAGCCGTATAGAAGAAGTGTGGTAGTGACAAATCTGGCTAGACTGGGGGCCACAGTCCTTATGAAATGATTCAATTTCTGAACAACAAGGAGAGCCCATGCTGTGTGACATGTTCCTCTTACTTGTTACAACAATATTTCAGGAATTTCCACTTCAGTTAGGTGTCTGAGGAATTCATGGCCTATGTCAGTGTAGTGCTTTTAGTTAATTTCCCCCCCCCCCCCCAGACAAAGTGGGCACAGCAAGGCACTGCACACCACACTCCGTTCTAGTCAGTTAAAGGGGAGTTTCACTCTAGACTCTAAGCTACACAGTTCAAGGCTAGCAAACATTCGTGAGTCCATTCTTAAGCGTCCCACGTTATCACCTTTGCCACCCAACATACAACAATAAGTGGAATAAGGGATCATACCCTTGTAGCTCCAGACTCGTTTACTGTAGTTCATTCCAGGTTTGCTCAGTGTTACTTAATCCAGACACCAACTTCATTTTATATGTTGATTTTACTTATGCCAAACTGTCATCAAACAGAAACCAGTGTAAATATGGGCCCTTATGAGAGGTAAAGTGTTTTTCAGTTCAGTAGAGCACTTGACAAGCCTTTGAATTCACCTGAAGATGACCAGATAAAATGGTCGAAACATGTTGTGATTTTAATAAAATAAATTGATTGTTATACATTCTCTGCGTTTTGTTAGATGGAACATGATAATTGATTAGTATAGATCCACGTTTTCTTGACCTCGGCACACACATCCACATCAAAATATTACCAGTGCTCACAGACTGGACACAATACACTGAAAGAGCCTGCTCCCTTGTTTGTGATATATCACGTTCATGGAATGTCTTGAACTTTCACATAATTTTTACATCACTTACATATTTGTAAGGAAATGTTATGATAACTTTGCGTATTGCTGATCTGTTCTTCCCACACCTTCTTATATGAGAAGGTTGGATGTTACCAAACTAATTGTTTAGATCAATGGTTCTTAAAACTTGGTCCATAAACTCCTTACAGTCTACAGGCTGGTTCAGAAAGCAAGCAGTTTTCTTCATCCCATGACCACAAGATCTCGGCACCAGTCCTAGTGATGCCTGATGAACATAAATTCTTGCACAACGTTAAAAGAGAGAACATTTTTGAACATTTTTTAGACATTTTCATGCCGATATTGAGAGAATTGAAACACTGGTACCACTACCCATACAAACAAAAGAACAAATGGTATGTGGGTGTCACTCATCAAAATATGGGATGCAGTTATGGAACATCTTGACATGTAGTATTTGAAAAGAAGAAAATTTTAATTTGGTCTGCGTAGGTCATAATATAAACCCTGCATTACATGAAGCTAAAATCAAACTTCAGTGAATATCTGAGAAACACCTTAGCATGCAAAACAATTCATACATAACTTAAAATATAGATCTTGGGATCTGTAATGCTTATTTCAAACATTTTGCAATGTCACTGTTTCACAAAACACAAAGCAGCACTCTAATTTCTGATTTTAACTTTGATTTAGTAAGAATACATTTCCGGCTGCAACATAGAACTGACTCTTAGTGTTGTTCTGGGTCTCTTTCTGTTGATGAAGTGTATAATTACATATACTGAAAAGCAGTGAAAGTTGCTCAGTACATAATGCAGGATTCATTCAGGGTTTAAATATTGTGTTTTATGTGTGGTGATGGGATAGAGTGAACACAGAAGTAAATAAATTACTTGAGCATCTGGTTGTCTTTGTATGTAGACACGCATTCAAGCAAGTGAGCATACATGCACACATACACATATGCGCGCGCACACACACGCTCTATCTCTGTATCTATCTATCTTTCTCGATCACTTACAAATTATATATTATCACCATCATCTACATATTTTGACCATAAAATCATCCTGCTACAATACTTGTATTCAAATGAAATTGCTCTTACTTATATGTGTTGATAATATTGGACAGTATATGTGTAAAGTTTTTATAGTATTAAGGTACAGTATGTCCATTTGCACATGTCACCATTATAATGCCAGGTTCACATGTCAAGGTATTGCCTCTGTGTCACATTGCATGCAATGATGTCATGCACTAGATTATAAAAGGGTTGTGATCATGGTGTCTTGACACTTGGGATTGCTGGGTTTTTGGATTTTGTCCATCAGCTGGTATTCTAAAGAACACAACGTTTCAGAAACTGGATCTGTTTCTGGCCTCAGATGAATGGACAGAAGATGTCAACACTGTTGGTTCCATTAGAAAGAGCTAACCCCAATCATTAGATGTTGTTTTCTTTAGTGTTTTTTAGAATAATGGACGGGGGTCAAAGTTTGAAAGCCTGGTAATCCTGGATGTCATTCACTGTTTTAAGCATTTGGTTGGCTATTAGAATACTGTATGGGTAAAATTCTTTTGTACCTACTGATGTTAACAGTATTGTTTTATGCTTGCAGTTCTATGATTATATATTTTTTATTTTGCATTTTATCCTGTGTTTTATTGTTCTTTTATGATGTAAAACATATTAATTGGTAATCACAGTATTCTGTAAACTTCCCTTTGTTATTTGTTAACCATCTATGACATGTATTAAAGGGTACTGAGTCTCTGACCTCATTATTATTTTGGACAATGTATGTTTTAAGCCTTATTCATATTGTGGCTTGCTATGTATCGCCCATCGTTGAGCAATGAAACAATGGAAATTGTTGAGACCGTTGCATAGGAATATCTGTAGCAATGAGTGTTTATTGCATAACAATACTAGGTAAACACCGAGCACACAATTGATATTAATTGTTCCATTCTGTGGTTACATAGGCAAAGTTTTTACTCAGTTACAGGCATGGGGGAAAACATATGTCACATTAAAATTTTGAAACATAGTAGTAAGAACATTGCGTGGGAACTGGGAAAACCTTAGTTCTGTCCCCAGCCAAGGTAACAAAATGCTGCATCACACCAAGAAGAGTATTTTGTGACTATGTACATTGGTTATTGCTGACCCAAGCCCTCACATTCCACTGAAGACAAAATGTAATAGCATTTTTTATTCCTGTACTTCATAGCAAGATTTATTTTATTCTTTTACTTGGTAGCTAGATGGAGCCATTCCAAAGTGACTGCAAACTGGAGAATCTTTTATCATGTATCCTAAAATCGGTATATTTTTGTACTGACTGAACATACTGTTCAGTATCATTATTAATAATTGATTTGGACCTGATATTGTGATCTGTTGTGTTCTCAGTGTGTTAAGACACACATTGCACCAAGTCTTGAAGTCAGTCCCTTTTAATGTCCTCATACATGGTTGCAGGAATAACAAATGGAAAGGAGTAAATATGTTGTGTTTTTGTCAAGAACTGTACTGTTCTTACTATACTGCTTTATGATTATAATGCTTTTTTGTACCATGTATAGGAAACTGAATATTAGTAAAGTGCCATATTATTAATAATGCCTAAACATTATTGGAAACTGGATTAATTTTCCTTTTTTCCACTTCTGATTTGAGGGCTGTATTTCTCCAATTTTTGCTCTGCAGTGATGGCTTTATTCAGAGCCATCCGGCCAGTTGTTCATTTATTTTAAATACTGAAATAAGTGATCGTATGTCTTCCATACTTGTTGAATATGGTGTGGTCCAAAGATCCTGTCTTCCAATATGTCAATTTATATATGATAAAATTAATCTAATATAGTTTCATAATTACATTGGTGCTTCCTGTACTGTTAATAAAGGCACTACA